TAATGTTTATTAGGTTCTAATAACCTTTACAAAGACTAAACTGCCCTTACTTAAGTGTGGGCAGAGTATCTCTAATAAAACTGCCACATAAGCAAGGTACTTAACAAACATGAGATGACTAAACTACCCCTATTCGGCTCACTTTAACAATACCAAATAAGATTGTCTAAAAATAATGCCAACTGTAAGCGTCCAGATTCAAATTTATGAGTATTAAAATTTACAATGATCTAGATCTGAAGGTAGCCACTTTGTGCAAAAATATGCTAAAGACTAGGGGTGCTCACAGTTCGGTTAATCGAACTGGTACTACCAATTTTTGCAATTCCCTGAACCAAAACCAAACCAGTACTGCTGGTTAACCGGTTGACTAGTTTCAGTTTTTGACCGGTTTGGTTCTTTGGTTTCTCGGTTTTTTATATTTATAACATATATTACAAATAAATATATAAATAATATATTGTAAATATGTATAATATATTATTAACAGATAATAATATTTATAATGCATATATATTGTATATAATTTATAGATAATATGTGACATATATTAAATATATTACCGGTCGGTTTGGTTTACCGCATTTTTCAGTTTGGTTTGGTTTTTTCGGTTTTAATGAGCACCCCTACTAAAGGCTAGGTCTATCCAGTCCACCCTTCCCAAGACCCCCTATATCTAGGACCAAGATAGGATCCAAGTCTGATACATATTAAAATCAATATCCAAAAATATTCAGCACAGACTCCAAGATGTAAATCTATAAAGGTTCAACATGAAGATAAATGCCAATACTTGAAGCTTTCTTTATAGCAATACCCTGAGTATGACAACTGGTTCTCTGTATCCAGCCTCAAGCTTAACTGATCTAGATCTAATGTTTTCAAGATGGATTAACAACTTAGATGTCCTTTTTTATTAAAAAGAACATTTTTGCGTCAGCTCAATTAAAAAGAATATGGACTGATCTATAATTAGTTCTGACTCCATGATCCAACATTGTAAACTATCTTGGTAGTAGTATATGAAACTTGGGCTACACAGAATAGCAAGACATGTACAACCTCCATCTCATCCAAGTTGTCTAGACTACATTTCAGCACAACTTATCAAACTTCAACCATGAAAAAAAAAACTAGTTCATTCCAATGCTTTACTTATTGTTCCAATCCTTTCCATGCTCTTCATCATTCATTGTTGATCTGTCTCAATCCCAAGAGCATTCATTTGCATCTTATCTTTCTTGATACCTCTTTCTAAACCCATTCTATCTCCAGCACTTTTGTTATACATTCAGGTTAAAGAGGGGCACTCTTGATTCATGTGGAGAAACCATATAGAGTTTATATAGATGTTCTGCCCTATTGCGGTTCAGAAAAGGATGCAGGACCATATGAAATGTCTGATTTGGCAATTGGACCCAATTCAATCAGCTCTTTATAAGAAAAAAGTAGGGAAAGGCAATCTCCTCTGTTAGGAGGCTGGGAGTAGAAGTGTAGAACCAATTGAAGCAGTAATCTAGAAGGAAAACAAGTTCAGAAAGAAGGCATACTCTTAAGATTCATAAAATACCTTAAGCATTAAAAGTCCCAGAAAAGGCTTGGAACTACAGTTTTTTAAATGCTGCGGGGATTTATGCTATTGAAAGAAGAAGTGGCAGTGATTTTCAGTAGGAAGATTGCTATTAAACTCATAAAGTACCTTCAGAGCAAAAAACTGGCGAGTCCATTTGTGTTGCACCAGTTGCACAATTCCACCATTACCCTTTCCAATTACTTTAATTGTGTCTATGTCAGCTAAGCTCAACTGGTTGTCTGATGGCTTTATAATAGATTGCTGCATACAAAGTGATAAGACAAAAATAGAGAAGTTAAAATTTATTAAAGTAGACTATAGAATTAGGCAGGAAAGACATTGTGGCATGAATTATCACAATGTATGCACCAGAAGTAACACAACACATCATCATCGTCGTCGTCATCTAAGCTTTGTCCCAACTATATGAGGTTGGCTACATAAATCCTGTTTGCATTCAATTCTGTTAAGTGCCATATCCAGCAGCAGAATGAATGGTCGAATAAGGCTGTGTTTGGCATGCTTTCAGAGAATTAATTCTAATGAATTTTGTGATTTCATGATTCTAAGAATCAGTTGTAAGTTTGGATTTATGAAAATTATTGGAACTAATTCTTTTTCTAGGCTCAAAACCCATTCTAAGAATTGATTCTTTTTGCTCAAATTTTATTCTAGAAATAGTGATTCATTGGTGTAGAATTTTAACCAAGCATAGCCTAAACGAGTATATATAACAAAGTAAAAGCATTATTAATGACAATGATGATAAAGAAAGGGGAGGACATGAGACCTGACCCTCAAAACTATAAAAGGAACAAAACTCTACACACAGGCATATAACCAGGAACATTTATACATTCTGAGTGTCTTTCTATAAATGTTATCTAAATCCTTTGTCTTTTATTAAAGCCGGAAAATTTTGGCTTATTTGGGTGCACCCTACAGGCTTACATTAATGCCGTCTTTCTGACAAAATAATGTAAATGTGTATGACAAGATCACAAGAATTGAATGGAGAGATTAGCCTAAATAACTATAGTACCTGTCTATGCATGCTAAGCAAAAGTTTGATTTGCGAATGTAGAACTCCATTTGATCTGGTCTTGCTTGTTAGCATTGATGGAGGATCTTGTTAGCAGCAGAAAAGCTGTGTGACCAATTGATGGTGGAGTTTGCAACTAGTTGCATATTCAACTTTGCATCCATAATAGGCTTCCCTAATTATTCTCATCTTTAATTGAAAAAAAATAAAAAATAAAAAGGAAATCCTTGTTATGGTAATGCATCCATCTTACCAAGAATGTAACACAGAGTTGAAGTCAGGGGTTAAGAGCAGATCAATGCAAATTTCTACTTTAGTAAATACACGATTTCAAGTTGATCCTAACAGGAACTTCAATATTGTTAGAACTACTTGAATTTATCTGAGACCTTGACCTCAGATTCTGTTAAGGAGGCAAGGAGTGTTGACTACTACAATCCCAATCTCAAGTTTGATAGGGGCGATGTTAGCATGGTTATTGACACTCTGACATTCCAGTACATTACACTCTCTTCGCTCTCAATCTCAACGGAATTTTGTGGGGCAATTTTGCGAAAAAATAACCAACGGAAGCTAAGGCTGTGTTCTATCAGGGAACATTTCTAGTGTTCCGCTCCAGTGAACACAAAACGTTCCTCGGTAGCGTTACCAAAGGACGCCTGAGCTTCCACGAGTTCTTGGCATACAGCACTAGATCTAAGAGGGTGTAAAGTAATTTCTCCGTCCACTCTGAAACACAAAGGAAGCATGAAGGACCCCATTAACGAACTATAAGCTTCCAAACGTTGAGACTCGAAAAGATGTAGCAATTTGAGACCCACAAGAAGAAGAAAAAAAGCTGTATTCTAGAGCTACAGTATCGGTGAATTCAAAACAATTGCAGGTATAACCATAAAATCGTAGGAAAGAAAATGAAGGAACAGGATCAAACAAAAAGGGGAAAAAAAAAAAACTTCTTGAATGTCGGGTAATATGTATGTGTACCTGATCATCTTCGTTTTTTGGGACGACTCGAACTCCATCCTTGTTAACAAGCAGATCGCCGTCCTTAAAGGTACCGCTCTGCGTGCTGGCAAGAAGACGAAATCCTAAATCAATAAAAGGTAAAACAAAGAAGTGAAGAGAAGTTAATCAGAGAGTGAGAAAAAGAGATTTACAGGAATTTAGCGATGGAAGTCTCATCTGGAGGAGGAAGAGAGAGCTTGAGCTTAGTGTTCAAGCCACCCTTCTTCATGGCTCCTTTGCCTTTCCCTCAAAGTCGTTGCAAGTCCTTGCAATAACAGAAAATTTCAGGTTTTATACAATTTATATTCTTTAAACTTGACATAGTAATATTTTATTCCTACAATTAAAAGAGAGGAGAAGAACTAAAAGTTTTGTCTTGTAGTTGAGAGAGATCAGTCAGTGATGGTGGCCGGAGACTTTTCCCTTTTTTCGGATAAGATAATTACAGTAGTTAAAAAGAAAATTTTTCTTTCAGAAATTGCTTAAGAAAGACAAAAAGTGCTGGTGAATTCAATTACAGAACAGGGATTATAATCCTACAGTTTTAATAAATATCGCAGGGAGGGAGAAAACCAGAGCCGCTGGATTGGAATTTAGATACGACAAAAAGCAGGGATCTTATTGCCAAAAAATTTGGTTATCCGGATCGGGTGTCCTAAAGTCACTACAATCGCTATCAACTCCGTGCCAACAAGTCATTACAATCGTACATTGGGAACATCTCCCTGTTAATGACAAGTGAGATGTTCCCCATGTGCGACTGCAGTGATTTGTAGGGAGCGTTCTATTGGTAGAAGATCCCTTACCCGTCCTTTTATCGTTTATCTTGCTCGTCAACGTTCCGAAAACCAAACCGGACACGGAATTGCGTTTTAATGTCCGGACCGTCCGGTGGTTTTGAGGATTTGGCGCTTCGACCGACAATTTTTATATCGTCAACTTTTATTTTTCCTAACATTTTAATTTCCCAAAAATTATTATTTTTCAATGTTTAGTTGCATGTTTAAAATTTGATTTTTTTTTTCTTTGAAAATGGATATTAATTATGAGAAAATGACACTTTTTCTAATTTTTCATAAAGCGATTTTCCAAATAGTGATTGGTCGTATGACTCGTATCTTATGTTCATAATTTCATATATTTTGTTGTTCAATATCATGTTTAAGGAAATCAATCTCCTTCCTTTATTTTGTGGAAGATGAGTCAGAAAAAATAAATATAGAAGGGGATTGGAAATGAAATTTGATTTATTTTATATTCAAATTTGAACTGAATGTTATCCATTGGATTTATGTTGGATTTGAATCAAATATGGATTGCAAAGTGGATGTTAAATAATATAAATAAAAGAAAAGAAAAAAGAAAATATGACTTTGATATTATATTTTATAAAAAAAATTAACTGAAAATTACTTTATGAAACCTAAAACTTTTTTTTAAAATGCAAATTGCATTTATATAGAATCAATTTCGGTCATACAGGGGAAATCAGTTGGTACGCTGGATAAATTTTCTAAGCGGTGGTGCAGTTCCGAATCCATTATTATCATTTATTACGGAAAAGTTGATATACTCTTCACTTAAAAAGAGTAGTGAGCCCCTATGGGGGCTTGACATCCGACATATGAGGCTGAAACTGAAATCGGGTAAGAGATGATGACTCAGAAGGTGTAGATACACCAGGGAGGAGAGCTTGAATTATCTAATAGGAGTTAAACAATCACCAGGGGGGGACACAATGCGAACTTCAAGCATGTATGAGTACATATTTATACTAAATTGAATGGGTCACATTAAGGCCATATTTGACAGTGTTTATTTTAAAAGTAAAGGCTTATTTTTTAAGCTCAAATTTTTAGTTTTTTTTTAAGTGCTTATAAAATAAGTATTTCTTCAATTTTTTTTCTTTCAAAATTATTTCTAGTTGAATTTTAAAGTATCACTTATAAAATTATCCCTATTTGAATTTCATAAAAAGTACTTTTAAAGCATTTTTAAGAAAGTATTTTTATGAAAGCATTTTTATGAAAGTACTTTCACAAAAGCACTTTTATGAAAGTACTTTTTGTGAAATTACTTTTGTAAAAGCACTTTCACAAAAGTGCTTTCGTAAAAGTATTTTCATAAAAGTGTTTTCATAAAAGTAATTTAATAAAAGTGCTTTCAAAGGATATATTTTGAAAATTTGAAAGAAAATAAAGGACAAACACTTATTTAAGTGCTTATTGGAGAAAAGACTATCAAACACCCAATATAAAATAAGTGCTTGTTTTAAAAAAATAAGCACTTAAAAAAGTTGGGTGCCAAATACAAATAAAATAAGCACTTACTGTTAACTTAAACACTCCCAAACCTGCCTAAATCAAATAGGGATGTATCCATATTTGGTCCAATTATAAACAGACCAAATTTGACTGAATTTGAATAACCCTTAATAGGACCAAATTCAGACAATTGGATAATATTCGAATTGAAATAGTAAGGAATGATTAAAATACTGTGATAATTTAATAATGGATATGACTATCAAGAAAGTGAAATAGTGAAACAGATTTTTTTTATAGAATGGAACAGTGAAATATAATTTAAGTAGCCGTACCATATAGTTAGGACAAGGATGAAAAATAATGATGATTCTCGTTTCTTTTTCATCTATATACAGCCTCGATTTTTGGAGGTTGAGGTTCAGTTTGGAAGGAGTATAAATATAAATATGTACAATACAAATACACACAAAATATAAGGTTTTATACTCTATATATTTATATTTGTACCCCTTCCAAACTGAGCTGGAGACATCATTGCACACCATAGATCCGGAATATTATGAACAGAAACAGGGCCCACCTGTGCCGACAGTTACTTTAATTGACACAATGTTGCAGGTCCATGCTGGTGTACAGTGCGTTTGGCTTAGTAATGCTAAAGCCTAAGGCTGTTTTTGGTTACAGTGCAATTTTATTTGCACTAGCACAAATGCATAGAATGCAAAATCTGGTTAGTTTTGTTTTGTGTTTTATTTTATTCTGCTTCAGGTTTTATTTTACTTTAATTGAAATGCAATAATACAAAATAAGATAAACTTGAAATAAAAGTAAATTATAATTTTGCACTACCATGGTTTTGCATCAATACAAATAAACTCGCATTGCAACCAAACACAGCTTAAAGCACAGTGTGAATCGATTTTTCTTTTCCTGCTGTTATTTTTCCCGTTTGTGAAGTAATGACGTTAATAGTGGTTAAACCAACATCTATATCTATATTATAAAAGTGAATGTTTGCTCTGAAATTTATGAAGATCATAAAAGTTAAGTCAAAGTGCTTTAACTTGCTAAATAAGTTGACGAGGTTTTGCTCTGAATAGGTGAAATGGGATCTTTCTTTGTTCACACTTAAGAATTAGGAATACTCCTTTTCCCTCCAATCAGATTCAATAAACCACCAGAATTAAACAAAACCTCAACCCTCCCTAAATAAGTTCTGTAAATAAATCCCGAACAAGAGAGTAGTTAAAAAGAGTCTAGATGCTATAAAGAGATTTCAAAACATATGAAACCAGGTATATAACAAGAAAAGAGAGTCTGGTTCACACTACCCCATTGTATAGCCCCATGAGAAAAGCAAAAAGAAAAAGCTATCGGGTACAATTAAAAAAGGAGAAAAAGATATCTCTCTCTCTCCACCTAATTCTTGTTGAAGCCGATTTATTTTTATAAAGGTAACAAAAGATGATGGGCCTGGGCCGGCCCCAATGGCTTGACTAGTCTAGAAAAAATAGAGAGAGGAGTAAATCAGTAATATAATATTATAGGGACTGGGACCGTTAGATGGAATGATGTAGCCCACCAGAGTAAAGCACATATCATAATCAGACAGCTCAATGGCTTTACAACGTCCCCATCTCCTAGTCAAAGCACGAGCAGAACAATGTATCTATCTTTGATTCCAAATTCCAATTCAGCTTTGACGAGGTACAATTATTGGAAGGCCCAGCACTTCTACATGTCATGTTGACGTCCTGTTGATCCACCACCACCGGCCCGCTTGCCTGGAAGTAATAATAAGAATTAAAAAGCTGCCTTTTCTGAAATGGCCATCGGGGCTGGACTCTGGAGTTGGGTCGGGTGGGATCTCTTCCCAACAAAAACTGGGCTGGGTCCTGAGAAGCCAGTCAGTTCAGGTTCAGACCACGGTGCTCTTACTTTAGACTTGGGCTAATGAGTAACAAGTCATTAAGGCCTTGTTCGTTTATAAATCGGGTCATTTACCTTTATTCAGGTAAATGCTTTCTGGTCCAAATAAATTTACTTATCCATGTTATTTTGATTTCCAAATAAATAATATAATAATAATTATTATTTTATCCATAAAAACTAATATTAAAATGGACAAATTTATTTTATTATGTTTTATAATTTTTTTCCCCAAATGAAAAAATAATTACCCACCAGAGAAATGAATAGTTTTTAATATACTTTATATGAGGCCCAGTACTTATTAATCGATGAAAAAATGATACCCATTAACCAACTTTTTGATAGGCGTACAAATACAATGTATGTATTTGCATTGTAAATATTCGTATTCATGCTCTTACCAAACTAAGCCTTAATTAGGGATAAACCAACGAGAATACTCTCGGGCAATAGAGGTATGACGTCATTGAGCTGAGTGATTTCACTTTCTGGAACTGGAATTTGCGCCTCAAAAATCAAAACAGAAGTCCACAGTCAACAGTCCACATCATGCGCCCGCACATACACGTAAGGGACGAAGGTGGGAAGGATTTATCTTGGTGGAAAGAGAGGTAAGATTTAATAAGAACATAGATAAGGAAGGGCCAAGAAAATAATTTTGGCTTACGTATATTGATATTGCGTCCCCAAATCCCAACTACTGACAACCTAAAGGTCATTTCCACGTCGTGTCAGTCTCTCGTTTGCGTACTTGGAATCTTCAACTCCGGATACTGGGCTAATTCATGCCGTGGTCCATCATCCTGAACCTGAAATGTGGTCCAATACAGCAATGCCCAGTATAGTATACTCAACTCCGGATGTGGGCTAATCAACGAGACTATTGTGTTTACCAAGCCCACTTGATTTTGACACATGAGCATTGAGCAATCAAAGTCTCAAGGCAACAAGGCCCCACTCTCTCAACCTAAATAGTCCAATTAGTCAAACCTATTATTCCTTGGTTGGGGACTTCTGTTCTGATTTCTGAACCCTTACCCATCAAAGAAGAAAAATAAATCTCTCTGGTTGGGGACAGAGTAGGGGTGAACCTGGACATACCCACAGAAGGCCTGCACCTGCAGTTACGGGCTTGGTCCAGCGTCTCCATTGTGGGAAGGATCAACATTTCCAAGAGATTTAGGCATTTACACCTAGTGCTTTGATTTTACAATCTAGCTTAACATTTCCAAGGATCAACTCCATGATCCTATTTCATGTTATCAGAAAATCAGTATAGCTTAAAATTTTAGAATCTAGTGCTTTGATTTTCATTTCCATTTTCTTCCCCAGCAGTGCCATGCCAACCAAAGAAAGGCCTTCTAAAAGTGAACCCAAAGAAACCAAACATAAGAAGGGCTTAAACAAGATGAGGATTACCTTAAAACAAAGATCATATAGCACAACCGAACATGTGCTATAGAGAGGTTACAGCAACCAATCTAGACAATATTATCATTATATTAAGCTATCTGCATAATTAACCATGTTTATCATGAGATGAGACCATGAGGCAGGGAGAAGTACTGCTAGGCTGTGAAAAACAAGTACCAAATTACCTGCAAAATAGAAAAGGCCTATTTTTTGGCTTATGTCCCATGTATTTGGGGTGTCCATAAAAAACCGAAAAATCAAAAAACTAAACTGAACCGTGAAAACCAATGGGGAAATGCGGTTAACTGAATCAATCGGTTCAGTTTTGGTTTGGTATTTTTGAAAAACCGAAGGACCGATTCGGTTTTCAGTTAACCTAGAAAAAAAACGGTGGTTAACCGAACCGACTGGTATATATATTTATATGTATATTTTATATATATTTTTAATATGTCACATATTTTCTATATATTATATAAATATATATGCACTATATATAAATATATACATATTTATATTTATAATATAACATTATACATATATATAATATAAATTATAAATATAAAAAACCGAACAGAACCAGTCAAAAACCAAAACCGGTGGTACCAGTTCGGTTTCAATTTGGAGAAATCGAAAAACCAGGACTGGTTCGGTTTCAAAAATTTGTCTATGGTTCGGTTAAATGAACCGTGGACGCCCCTACCATGTATACCTGCCACATTTTTCCATCTAGATGTGTTGCTATACACAATAGAAGATTCAAATGTGGAGAAAAAGGACAATGAATCTCCATGTTAAATTTTCCCAATCTCGACCGGGAATTCCACTGTTTGTAGCTCTTGAAGGAGGAAAAAAGGGGGAAGGGAAGACGAATCAAAATTCCATATGTTGGTTAGAAGACTACATAAGAGTAAACACCAATCAAAGAATTCATAGAAGCACATCAACAATGCATACAAAAGGTATAAACCTAAAAAGTATATGATACAATGTAACAAAAGCAACAAAATGCAGAATATCTGACACAATGATCCCAGAAAACTTGGGACAAAATACTACCATTGGCTCATACATAGTTCAGGTCATTTAAGAATGCAAGATAACAAGAATATACTATAACAAGCCAATCTGCATCAACGGCACTCTGTGTGCTTGCACACCCACCAAGAAAGCCTAGTAAATTGTCAAAGGGGAAATATCCTAGCCACTAAACATCTTTGTATTGATACAGTCATCATAAACACATGCTACAAGGCACACAAATAGATAGTTACATACATCTTTTAACTGAAACAAGATTTAATTTGGATGACTAAATCATTCTAGGCAAAATCTTGTAAACTGCTAATTATGTTGGTGCATGTGCAGAACAGCCTAATCCACCTATCATCTGATAACTAAATGCCTTAATAATCTTTACAAACAACCAAAAGAAAAGGCTGAAGTACATGTACAGATCAATAAATTGATTTGGAAGAAACTTCTGTTCAGATAGTCATACAGATGTATAATGCCCATTAAATCTTCATAAAATCTGCCATGGATGTAGACCTTATGGCTATCTCGCTTCCAAGTGTCATTTTGTTTTCCTCCCATTATATAAGTAATATATTCATTGTAAGCTAGGACACAGGACTACGTTTTTTTCCTATTTCAGACAATGCAGTGGAATGGCAAAATAGGATTCATGTAGCTGACCTCATATAGTTGGGAACTTGGGATAAAGCTTTGTTGAGTTGAATTAAGTTGAGACTTTATTTTATTGAACTTTTGGATGCCATTTTCATTATTGCTTTTGTTCTCCTTGGTTAAATATGAATTCTATGAATTATGAGATTGTCCAAAATAATACAACTTAGCATTCAATTTATATAGGCATGAAACCACTTTCAAGCTCTGGACTAGTTTCCTTGCTACTTCACTCCAATTTAGGTTCTGAATTTTGTTTCCTAATTTAGCAACTAGTTAGGCATAACATGGTTCTTTGTAGTAGACTAAGCCTTGATAAAACTAAAGTAAATACCTAGACCAAAAATGTCAAAAGGAACTTGAGTTGCAACATTCAACATCTCAAATTTTGCTGCTTCTATGACAGCAACACCTCTAAAGGGATATGATATCTACAACTATGCTGAGATCACACAGTAAGCATCAAAAAGTCATCATTACGAGTACACCCCTTCAAAAATTTCATTTCTTACAAGTGTTCCCTGGACAATTTCTGCTCAATAACCAGATGATCCCAATTGAAGAGGTCGATTCAACATTCAATCATGTTGAAGGAGAATTTAGACAGCAGAAGTGGAACTCCAGAAATTATTGGATAATATGCCTACAAAATAGTATGAATGCATCAATGGCCTAATTACACATATAAATCCATTAGATGCTTGAATAGTGTAATTTCTAGTAAGCAATTTCATGTTCCTGTACAATGAACTTCCTACTCTCTGGCAACCTTACAAGAAAGGTTTTTATGCATTCCCATAAAATAACCAGGGATTTGTACAACACCATGGATTTGAAGATTATAACTTGTAAGAGGCAAGAACCTTGCGCTTTTTCACATTTGGTGGAAAATTTGAGTAGAGAAAATTTTGAAGTCAGGCCTCCACTACACTCCAAGGCATTTTTCTACCTGAAGATCAAGAATAAAATTAACTTATTTAGGCAACGAAGGTAACTTATATATCTTGCAATGGGAATATCCAACACAATACACAAATTTAACAGAAGATGTCATTTAACCTTCCAATCAGTCCTGATGCCATCTTCATTAATAGAGAGATTGCTCGAAAATTTTTGCTTCAGTCCATCAGTATCTACAAAACAATTCCTCAAAAGCTCAGCAGACTACTTAAGTAATCGTTAAGTACATGCATATCCAAGAAATCAAATATACCCATTTTTTTTTCCGAAATTCCTAGGTATCAAGCATGTGCATCCTAAACAAAAAGGCCCTATAAAGTTACTAGAGCAGTAGCACCTGGCTAAAGCTGCATAAGTACCAAAACAGTGTACTACTTAATGGATTAGCCTGAAACCCAGAGAAGTGATTAGCTCCAAAGTCAGAAAATATGTTGCCAACAGCAGTAGCACCTAATAATTATGTTGCCAATAGAAAATATAGATGTCATCATGGAAGCATACCCGATTCACCAGGTCTTAAGTGGCAACCAGGAAGCTTAAAGAAGAAGTTCCTTACTTGCAGTACCAACAATTGAGGATGTTTAAAAGGTTCTACCTGTTCTAACAACAATTTCCTGGTCTTTTCAAAGAGATAACATGTAGTAAAAAACTTAACTAACAGAAATGATAATCTCAAGGTTCAAAGAAGAGCAACCCCAACATAGTTGTCCATACAAAAGCACTACAATCAGTAAAATACTGAGCATATGATCATACCTCCTGAGAAGCAATTCAGACCTTTAAACCTGAAGTGAAAAACTGAAGGCAATATAAGCAAATGAAAAATCTATGAAATAAACCTTTAAGCCTAAAGTGAAAAACTGAAGGCAATATAAGCAAATGAAAAATCTATGAAATAAACCTTTAAGCCTAAAGTGAAGCCCTTCAATCTGATGTTCTAACAAGGTTGCATCATGGATTGATATGGCATTAACATAAATAGGTAAAGTTTTGCCAAACAGTTTGTAATAGAAATAATCTGGTGGTAGAACCAGACAATCTTGCAGAAAGTGTTAGCTAGTCTGTACAGAATTTCAGCTCTGTTTACACTGAGTAAATGTGCCAGTGTGGACCCCCAGCATGTGTTTTTGAATGAACCTAATCTCTGAGAGATAGTCTTTAAAAAACTCAACGATCTTATACTCCTACAGTTTCTTGGTAAAAATAACATTCACCAATAAATAAGCACCAAAAGAATGAAAAAGATTCCTCAAAAGGAATTGGATGCCCAAAAGCACTTTGGACTGGTGTAGCCAACTTAGGATGACAGACTCTCAACACTCCACCAAAATAACTAAAACCAAGCTAGATGTCAAAAAGTAGCATCATGCATGATGATCTCATGCAGAAGCTCAAATGTATAAAGTTTCCTAGCCCCATCTTTCCAAATGCCAACATTGTGCATGCAGAGTCCAATGTGATCAAAAGCAGGTTTAGTATAAATGGCATTACTCCAACTCATCAGCATCCTAATGCTACAATAAGAAATATGTTTCAACTAGTGACCTAGCTCTAGCTAGTTCTGAACACAGGCATTAACCAGGGAATAATTTTCAGATGAATTGAACCGACTTTTTCTATAATTTCTGTTACTATTCTATCCCAAAAGAATTCATTTTTCAATTAGTGATCTTCTACCAAAACTATGTGGGCAACACGGTTTAAAATTGCAAGCTTCACATCCCTTCCAAAAGCTATAACCAAACCATGAGGATGGAGATTTAGAAACTACAATCTGCTAGAGTTAAATGGGGATATTCAAGAATCGATGTAACTATGATTTGGTGCACACCAGAAACAAGTTTGTTCATAAAAAAGAAGATAGGAGGACCGTTTAATATTTTCAGGGAGATCACCCTTAGCTGCCAAAAGCCATATTTATACTTGATATTCCATCAAACACACAAACAGATTAAAAGTTACGATCTTAACCCTATAAAGTAAACTGAAAAGAATGAATTCAAAAGAAACAGAGAACTAATTACCCAGAATAACTGCTTCAATGCAAGTCCCTAACCCATTTGCAGCGTACCTTAAGTTTGGAAACCCGTTTAGTTCAAAACTTCGGATAATCAATCAATAAATCCTATTCTCGGCTAAAATATAGATGACGTGAACTGACGAGTTAATACAGAGTAACCACTTGGTTACCATGCGTGCAGATGGATAAATGTCCACGATAGAGCTATCACTGCTACTGCTGTTTTTGGACAAGACCGTTTGATCTCCCATCTTCGAGAGCCGGAATGATTTTCGGAGACCAGAGGACAGAAGAAAGAACGGTGAAAATTTTTAAAGCCAACATGAGCGTTCCAAAATGCCAGCTACTCTCAATAAATAAATTATTTGAAACTGGGGCGCTAAACAAAATGACTTAAATTAGGCGCCGTTTGGCGCGTCTTTTTGCGCGGTCTTTCGGCTGTTTACAAGCTGGGAAGACCGAAAATCGGTCTATTCCCGTTTGCAAGTCGAAAAGACCGAAAAGACGCGGCTCTGAAAAGACGTGCAAAGCCCATTTTGGGCTGATTTCAGGAAGCTCCAAATGAAACTTCTCGTGTCTTTTAAGTTTTAATCTCGTGCGGAAAGACCCGAAAATGATGCACGGAAAGATGCACGTCTGTCAAACGGTCTTCGGGTTGCCCAGATCTTATGTCAAAAGCTCAATGCATCGTCTATTGATCGTTAGAGCTACGAGAAGATCTTCTCAAAAGGATTTGCCAAACGGGCCCTTAGTCACCCTATACGCATAAGCTATTCCAAACGGAGACTAAGTAGGGATGCAAGTCGGGCCGGGTTAGGTCGGGTTGAGGCCAACCCTAACCCTAACCCAACCCGACCAACCCAACCCTAACTAAATTCCTTTAACCCTAACCCAACCCAACCCAACTTGAAGTCAATTTCAGGTTGGGTTGTGCTCGGGTTAGGCCCAACCCAACCTTCTTCCCATCCTTTAAAATCTCATAGAATTTCTTGATTTTAGATCTTAACTCAACTTTCACTACATATATTAATCCTATGTTTCATTAGTATTTGTTTGTTGACATCATTTTTTTGTTCTTTTAGTACAAAATTCAGAAAAACAAGTGTTAGAAATGGTTATAGTTTATTATGAGTTATGACTTACGATAGATCTTTCTTGGGCGACAAAAACATAGAGACGATGAAGAATAAAATTTTCAAAAGATATAAAATAATGTTATTAACGTTTTAGTCTTTCTAATTAGGATCAAGTGAAGTGATTATCTTAAAAGAAATACATGATACTATGTGGTGAGGGCTATACAAATATTATGCATCTAAACAAATCAATATATGTTATATATTACATATAGCATATATTTATATATGACATGTACTATAGAGTCGGGTTCGGGTTGGGTCGAGTTGACTAAGGGGTCAACCCTTACCCAACCCGAAGTAAAGTCAGATTCATGAATTTCAACCCTAACCCTAACTCGATCATCAACACGACCCTTTGTGTTGGGTTAGGGCTGGGTTCGGGCCAACCCAGCCCAAGTTGCAGCCTCCTAGGCATACAAGGGGCTCGCATGTCACACACCAATTATTCCAATTCCAAATTTTGTTTGTTTAAAAAAAAAATCAATAATGACTGTTCAGCACACCCTAAGAATTATTAGCCCCATTGCATATTTAGGTAGATGCCCGTTCAGAATTAATGCCAATATATGGGCGGATATTGGTGTTTTAGGGTGGGGTTGTTTGTCATTTTGAATTGTGTAGGGTTGTAATGGAATTCAAAATTCTATAGTTGGCTACAGTATATTTTTTAAAAAATTCTTTAGGGACCAATAGGTCTAACACCGCAACACAATGCGAGATCGGCTTCAGTCAATGCAAGGCCCATGGTAACATCTTTGTACTTCTATGTTTTATTTCATGGGGAGACATTCCCAATGCAAGGCTATTAAGGTTGTCGGAATGGACCTTGCACGGACTGAATTTAGTTTCACACGGTGCACTATATCCATGGTCAAGCTTTTCTAGGGTCCATATGGTTTTCAATAAGTGGAATCGGAATCAGAATTAGAATGGTTTATTCGTAATCCATTTGGTTCAGACAAGAATGGGAATAGAAATTAGAATTAGCTGGAATGGGATTTCATCCGAAAACCACTTTTTTGCCAAAAACCGTTGATTGGGGGACCGGCTCCCTATCCAGTCCAATTTTAAAAATCTTGGGGGAATCCCGTTCCAGTAGAAATGAGAATAGGATTCTGATTCCATCCAACAAAACAGTTGGAATCGGAACAGCCCATTCTGATTCTGATTCCATACCCCTAACGGAACCTAACTTCTAAGACATCGTATTTAAGAACATGTTTGAACAATTTGTATGTTTTGTGTTTAGTAATCTTTTAGGGGGCGTTCTTTTTCTGGATTTTGAGAGGGGGGAAAGTTGGTGAATGGGATTTTGATTCCCATTGACCAAGAATCCCATGTTCCTTTTTCATATTTATGTGGGGGACCAGGGAAAATAGTATAGAGATCTTTATTCCAGACCCATGGGTTCCTGCACTAACTAATGGAATCCCATATATAAAGCCTAAAATAGCCACTCAAGTAAGGAGTTTAAAGATGAATGAGCTCATCACCATGTCTGGAGAATGGGATAGTAGGAAAATTGAATCAGTTTTTAAGGAAGAATGTTGCTACCCAATCCATCATACCCTAATTTCTCATCATTTGCCATCTGATAGAATCATTTGGAAGAGCTCCAAATCGGGAGTGTATAGGTTAAGTCAGGCTACAAGCTTTTCATGTCAAAACAGGCTTCATCTTCAGGTCAGCATTCTATGGAAGGCATGGTGGAATGGTATTGCCACAAAAGACAAATGGCATTTCATTGCTGAAGAAGAGAGAAAATGCCCTCTGTGCAAGATAAATACAGAAACTTGGCAACACCTGTTCTTCGAGTGTCTTTATGCCAGAGCAGTATGGCTATCAGCTTGTTTAGGAATAAACCCAGAACTCATAAAAATATAAGGAACTTTATATATTTATTCAGGAGTGGATTGATTCCAAATTAAACTGCCTAAGAAAGGAAGAAAAACAAGGTTTCTTTGCAAAGTTCTTTATACTGTTCAGATTGATATGGGATATAATCCAGCACGTTTAATCCATTACATGTTCTGGTACCTAGCCCTAAGCCCAATTATACAGCCCTCCCACCCATCCTTTTTGCAATCTCATATAATTTTAGCTGCGCAATTCAAGATGTTCATCAACGGGTCTTTTAATCCATCATCTGGTATGGCAGGAACGGGAGCTTGGATTCTCTCAGCAAATGATAATGAGGTCTTCTCAGGCAGTAGAAGAATTACAGCTGCAAATTCCTTTCAATCCGAATGGTGGGCCTTCTTACATGGCATTCGATATGCCATAAAGTTGAAGATGAAGAGACTGACTATCTTTTCTGACTCAGAAAGCATGGTAAACAACATTTATATAGATAACAAAATGGAGTGGCAAGTTCAAGCTATCAAGCAAAAAATTCTACATCTATATCCTTTTTTGATATACTTGTTATAGCCCATGTAAAAAGAAGTATGAACAGGGCTGCACATGAACTTGCTTATAATGCATGTAAATATAGCATCGTAGTTGAAAGTGTGAACAGCCATGGTTACCTTATGTAATATGTTGATATAAGTAATGAAAGCTTTCTGAGGATAACAAAAAAAAAAAAAAAATTATATGAGTTAACCAATATATTGTCTCTTAATATTATAATATATTATAAAAAGTTATAATAGACTTATGGAATTGTGAACTAGCACATGGCATGCTTGGAGATGTACTTACATTTTACTAATTTGAGCAATCTTCAAGAACTTTGTTATAGAGGATTGGTGTATACATTTTATTAATTTGAGTAATCTTCAAGGTGGAACAAAGGATAGAGTTTAATGCATGTATACAACTTATATTTAGATATAAGGAATGGTGTTTAGGTTGCAAATTGTCTATACATAGCCAAGCCTGTTGGACTTCAGGGCAGGAAACCATGAAATGAAGAGTGGTGTCATACAAAGTTGGATGCATTGACAATGTACTAGGGTATATGGTGTTAGAAGTTTGAGCTTTTTGCTAACTGTAAGAGTCCTTTCCAAATTGCATTTAAAGAGTGATTTTTAAGTATATGATTGGTTTCAATGGAAATCATGCCAATACAAGATCGGTGATAGAGACTAATTTTAGGACCTCTTCTATGGTAAAGCAAATGACAATGTACTAGGGTAGCATTTTTTTTTTTTTTTTAGAATTTGGAGTGAGTGAATGCAAGAGGATGGCTTTCAACAAGATGTGGAACCCATAATAGTCTTAACTATGGTAAGAGTGGCTTGCTGGGTTTTAAAAAGGGAATGGCTAGAGGATGGCTTTCAGCAAGTTATTTACTGAGGAGACAACTGAATGAATCAAGACTGGATAAACCCATAAGAGGGAGGACTAAAGCTGAATGGTTATTGTCTACAGATTACAAAATAAATTTTCTTTGGAGCTAAACCCAGTGCTATTTTCTTTTCTTTTATGATTTTACCATAAGATAGCAAATAGGTAAATAACAGTGAAGTTTTGTTCTTAGGTCTTCACATCAAGTAAACACACCATATATGAGTGAATTGGGTCCGACGTGGCAGGTGAGAATTACGAATACTAAGGAAAAAATAGAATGAAGATCTTGACCCTTTTTGTGTGTGTGTGTGTGATGATATCTAGATGAAATGAGCATAAACTGTCTTTTTTTGGAAAAAAAATGAGCATAAATGTGATTTATAAATCTAGTAGAACTTCTGGATTTATTGTATGAATAGTAACATCTTACCAATCTTTTCTTGGAGAAGCTAAAGGTGTCATTAATTCTTAAAGGGTTACATGATGCAATCTGGGGGAGTTTAGTATCGTCCACTACTTGAATTGAAAGGGGGCAAGAGGATAGCTTCTTGTATGAAGGATGTTGCAGACTTTGGCGATGGGAAATCTGTTGGTGGAATTTCCTTTTTAGGCTGGGGAGTTCACTTTATTAATTAACTATGATAACCCCTTCAAGTTGGATTGGATTTGTATTCCATCCAATCTAGAATGTTGGTACAAATTGGTCATGCAACTATGCAAGTGGCTTTGCAAGGTCCGGTTCAGATCATTTACTTGTTGTTTTGGTCTGTGAAAAGAGGTAAAGAAGGCTACTTCTATTTGAATTTAAATTATGGGAAAACTAACAATGGGAGAAAAATAAACTCAAAGATAATTAACAACATAAAATCGTTGATAAAAAAATAACATAAAATGTACTAAAACTGCAAAACAATTAACATAAGAATTCTAAGACTATAGTGGATTGCACACTCTAAACCAAATCAACTAATGCATGTTTCAGTTATCCAATGTTCAAATAAAAATGGAAAAAACTGAAGTGCCAGGGTGTGCAAAAAATCCAATAGGTTTCTTGGTTACCAGAGTTGAGCGAATGGCCTTATTGTCTTAGAAGAAGCCTAGAACCTGAGTGGAGCGAATGACCTTATCTCTAGGCTTCCAAGAAATGCATATATACCCAACAAACAATAAGAGAGGGAGGTTGGTAATTCGGGACTGAAAAAAAAAAAAAAAAAGAAAGAAAAACAGAGATATACCTGAGTTGAGAGACTACAAACAATTAGAGAGGGAGATTGGCAATTTGGGTCTGAAAAAAGAAACAGAGAATATACCTGAATTGAATGAATAACCCTATCTCCACAAATGGCTTGAGTGAGTGATCTGATCTTGGTAGATAACTCGTGTGAAGCTTTTGGTGAGACCACTTGCCTCCTAATCTATAGATGCATTGTCACATCACATAAATTAGAAAAAGACATATGTGGGTCTGATAATCATTCTTTATAATAACAATTTGTATTCATCAACCCAAAACATTTTTATATACAAAAAAATTGTATGAATCAATCCAAATTTCATAATAGTTGAAGCAGAGATAATAAAGGTACCAAATACCACCAAAATCACTGGATGCATTCCTAATAATCACTCTAACCAGAGGTCCACAGTATGATTGCATCATTATAATAAGTTAGGGGTTTTTACTATCCGCTCCACCTCTGAATTCATAATTTCATCTTACAGTTTGGATCAATTGCCAAATTCACGAAGGGTGATGTTTATAGAGGAGCTAGGCGTAAATACATTTGGAAAAGAAAATTTCCCAATTCTGAGGTGAACTGATCCGTAAAAATCTCTATAAGGTTATTGCTGCATCAACCATCAACATTGACCGTTGACCATGCAATTCAAGTAAGATGTGATATTCGATGGGCTAAGTCGATTATGGTTCCACTTCAAATCTACCATGAAAATATGGGCGGGCACGTGCTACATTTCTAATTGGAATTGGATTAAAAGTATTGCCCTTAAATACATAGTTTTTTTGTTACAAATACAAGATTATAACGCCTTTAGTGAAAATGAAAATAATGGATGCAATTTGGGCAGGCTCTAATCGATATTTTGTTAAACTTTGAACGGATCAGTCTAGAGTTTTGGCCCTGTTCAAATTTTCAAATTGGATATCCAACTTACACCCTAGTAAAAATGGTGTTTGGTATAACTTTCTTTTATATCAAGAATAGTGCTAGTTTATCGCCATGTGACATTTGTTCTAATATATTATTTGGTAAGTATATTTATCAAATAAACATTTTTCTTGGTTTATATATAAATCAACCGTTGAAGAAGTTTCATTTTAACGTTTCTCCCAATATCAAGGTGTTTGTTTATTATTCCACTTATGTAATATCTAACTGTCAAACAATAGTAAAAAATCATTTATTTCAACCACTTTTTCTCGGTAGATATAGATCAGAAGTCATGTTTACTTTATCCAAGTTGAGAGACAAAACAAGCCCACGATCCAATGTCAGGTTTTTATAAGAATTGGGCTTGAAGCCCAAGCAAGACCCAAACCACATCTCATATGCTGGACCACAATGAATATCAAATGTGCTTATGTGTCATAGATTCCACCTCTGAAGTCTAAATCAATGTTCAAAATATTGATACGCCCGATATACCGATAGGGGCGTATTAGGTGAATCGATACACATTTTGGAGCTTTTTATGTTTTTGTTTTTTTCGCAATCGGTTCAGAGGGGCTGGTTTAGGTCTCCTCTACCCCCTGAACCGGTCAGACCTCCGATATATCCACTGTAGGGGTGTATCGGAGGGGTCCCGGAATGATACATATCGGTCAATACGGGCTGATACATATCAATACTTTGAACCTTGGTCTGAATTACATAGAAGACAGACAAGATCGACACGAACGTTTCTCTTTACACTTTTTTGCCCAATTTCAATTGGCACTTGGTAGGACGTTTTTCAAAGCTCTGCGCATAGAAACAGAATTTCAAAACTCTACACTTTCCAGAATTCAGATATCTTTCCATTTGAAGGCCAGCATAAAGCTAGATTTGGGAGGGCTGAGCTGAAGGTTCGACTAATCTGGCTCAGCCGCTTTAAAGTTCTCTTATCTTAATTGCCTGTTTGAGGATAAGTTAAACATCCAGCTAAGTTGGTTCAACTGCTTTAAAGCGTTATGGATAAGCTTTCTAATGAGATTGAAGCAAACAGCCCAAAAAGATGACCAACTAATAGCCTATTTGAATTTTCCATATTTCTCAAAACTAAGCTTAAAAGGCTGTCTATATAGGTCCCACCTTGGAAAACTATATTCCGCTAAGCTTCACCCCTTTTAAGCGGGCACAAGTTATTCCACTGAGGATTGGGGTCTCCTTATTTTAACATATTTTCCAGAGGACACGCATCCAACAAAAGGTATTTTATACAATAAATTTTAAAAAGTTTGGGATTAAGGTTTAAATGCCTTTTTATTTAAGTGTTTAAACTTTAGATTATAGGGTTTAAGATTTAGGATTAAGGTTTTAAAATTTAAGGCCTTGTTTGACAATGTTTCATGAGAACATTTTTATCGTTCCCAGTGTTCTCATGGAGCAGGAACGCTTTGGGTACAAGAAAAAAAAAAAACAAGGTATTCTCGCATGAAAACAGCACCCACAGAACATGTTTTTTGGGAGTAAAAATTCGGCACTCTCAAAGAATGTGTTCCCAGAGAACGTGCGATTCTTTCAGCATTAACCCCTATTAACAAATACGTGCTATTGACTCCCATGTAAGATAAGAGGTATGTGGGTATTTCACATGAAATGATAGAAACAAGCCCTAACAACCACATTTCATTCAACACTTCTCCTCCCATTGCCGCTGCACATCTCAAAGGAAGGAGGGGCTCCCTTGGCTCTTGTTGCATCAACAACTGGGTGGCGAGTGAACAATAGAAAGCATCGACAACATTTCTGGCCAGGAACACGTCAACAGGTAGGTTGTATTCGTTCTCATCATACCTGGTTTTGTATCATCATTGCTTTGTTTTAAATTCATCGTTGCTCCGGCCATATTCACCCAAACTTGATTCTCCCACCACAATCATCTCTAATTGATGCGAGTTTTCATATACCTACAATATGAAATAATTTTATTATCCAAATACTATTTCTATTCCTGTAGAACAAAAATTCATTCTCAAAGAGCAATTTGCCAAACGCCTCTATTACTCCTGATGAGCAAGAAATGAAATTCTTGTTCTATAACATGAATTTTTTAAAAACAGGAATAAGTGGAAGCATTGCAAACAGGGCCTAAGAGTTTAGAGTTTAGATTTTAGAGTTCAGAGTTTCAATTTATTATTTAAATATAAAAATTAAAGGGTGTTGGTGCACGCATATCCTCATTGGGACTGGATTGGTTGGAGACAAAATCATACACAGACTGGGCTACCTATCACAAGTGAACCCGCCAATATCAGCAGAATCTTAGCTTTTGACTGATGGCAGTTTTAATAGTAATGGGTTGAGTGGTTTTGGTTTCTGGATAGAACACAGTAATGGTTATTTTTTTATGGCTAAATGTGGTGTATGTAAATATGTCTCTTGTGGAATATGCTGAACTTACAGCTATACTTTTTTGCTGCAAATCTGCTCAATCCCTAAGATTATCATCCATCAGAATTGAATCAGACTCTCATGTGCTAGTTAACGTTATAAAGCATAGATCTTTTGACTGCTCTCTGGTTACTTTGACCTTTGCTTCAGGATTTATATGAATTGCAGGGTATTTCTTTCAGTATTAGCTTCATTACGAGAAGAGGTAAATTAGGTGTCTCTGCTGAATGGAGAAGCCCCCCAGTCTGGCTGGACCCTTTCTGAATAATATGAAGTCTGTGATAGATGGTTATTCTCAACTTTGAAAGCCCCCGTAGCTTTTGTTTTGCTCCTGCGAGGTCAAATTGAACCAGATAATGATTTGGTTAGGGGTTTGGTTTTTGGGTCAAGTGGTCCGATCATTTGAATCAAATGAATAATTTATTCTGATAAAAAATAAAAAAATAAAAAAATGGTCAAAACATTAAATGGTTCAAACGGTTCAACAGTCTAAGTTAATAATTTGCTGATCAAATCAACAGTTTTTCGCAAAATAATGATTCTAAGGTAAAACGAAATCGACCAAATAATCAATTTCCAGTTTTTTTGTCCGACTCCGATCCATTCCCATTTTGAAAACATAGTATTTTGTTTTCGATTAAAAAAAAAGTTGAGAAATAGGGAGGAAGGCGTAGGATTTGGCGTTATGCGATCAATCTGGGCCCCACAGACTTTGCAATTACCACCAGCCATTGACTTTGTAGGTTACGGAGGATCAATCGTCATTACAGTTCATCCACGATTCCCATTCGTTGTTAGGGGATTAAGATAGATGACAAAACACATTGTCTTGACTGTCTGTCTTCTTAGGCTCGTCCAGAATTCATTTTCTACTGGACGGCTGGACCGGGTTAACTTGATGTGCTGGAGTTCTGGACGGTCCCATGACCATTTCCGACATTAGAGATTGGAAAACTACTGTTTTACTACTCGGTCGTTCGGTTGACTCCAAAGTCAACAATTCCGTGAAGCTTCACCGGTCCAAGATCTGAAAAGTTGGAAATTTGTCTTGCAGTTGGATTCGTATCTTCATATTGCGGAGCATAAGACCGTTTTCACAGCCATAGAGCACATTCTACAGAATCAATCCTAAAGTCAAATGACCCAATCTGACGGTTTTTACCAAGAGAGAACAGAGCTAGATGTGCTCTCATATACATCTCTTCCACTTCCGATACAAGAAAAGGAAGAGTAGTATATTCTTGTTGTTCAAGTGTCCAAAGGCAAAGGCTGAAGTACATTCTACATTTATACTCTCGCTCTTTCAAAGAGGTGGAAAGGGAGAGTTTCGTTTAAACCCAACTCAAAAACTTTTCTCGATTTCCTCGAAAATTCTGAAAATTTTTTGGTGGGCAAATCTGAAGAAAATAGGAGAAGACCGGAAAAGCTTATTTTTCATGGTTCCGAGTCTAATTTGTTCGTCAAGGCAAGTAATAACTAATAACATCTGCGTTCTTTGATATCTCATTACTGTGAAGACGATGCTTGTTTTTAGTTTTCAGATAATTTTGGGTCTCATTTTGTTCCTTCTCGTCTGTTTTATTTGTTATTCTTTTCTGATTTTCAGTCGTAATATTGAATTTTTGGGTTGATGGATTTTCATGAGACTGAATTTAATTGAGGTGAAAATTTCTTTCTTTTGTTTTCTTCTTAATTGTGCTTTTTTTCTTTTGTGGAACAAGATTTGAGGGGGAAAGTAAAAGGTAGGGATTGGTGGAGTTTATGCTTAAAAAGTAGTAGTAATTCCTATCCTCTTGTAGTTATATCATCTTTCTGAATACTTGATAATTTTGTCTGTTGTGTTGCTGTTGTTGGTTTATTTAGGAATAATTTCAATTCTCAGCTGATAAGGTATGATGACAGTTGAGTTCAAGTGGAATTTTGTACGTGATTATTACTTTTTCTTGAACTGGAAAGCAATTTCGATTTGGATGACCCAATGTCAATTATGGCTTGTAATAATTATCATGGATTGACGATATTATCTTCTCTGGTTCATTTATCCAAAAAAAAAATTATCTGCTCTGGTTGCGAATGTTGATGTGCCAATTTTTTAAATAATGGGGACCTTTGCTTCATATGGGGGGGGGGGGGGGGGGTTGGTTATTTACTATTTTTCATTTTCATATTTCTCTGATTGGTGAGATATTTCACAAAGCAGAAAATTATCTTCTGAGTACGCAATTTCCCCATGAAGTGATTTATCTAGATCCAATTTGTTCAATAATCTCTATTGTTGGCTTTCTCTTTTTTCCCCGGGAAATCCATCTTTTTCCAGCTTAAGAAAACTGTGTCTTTTCCTATTTTCCCGATTTGTTGAATTTTACGCCATATACTGCATCTAAAAGGTGTCATTGATTGAGAAGTCTTTTTTTTCATGGGATGATGTGCCACTGATACAGTCTGAGATGTAAAATTCATCATTCTAAATGCAACTGTAGAGAAGTACATTCATATGCAGGATATTTTACCTGCAAATATGATATTTAAAGCTTGCTTCAATTGAAAAGAAATTCTCACTTTCAAGTTTTAGTGTGCGCACTACTTTTAAGTAGTTGGACTAGATGTTTCTGATTCCATCCAAACCATACCATGGACCTCTGGTTTCTATCTGCATTCCACAATTTATGTAACTTATTTTTGTGATACAACTTGTGCAATGAAAATGAGATTCCTCTAGATTATTACAAATTAAAAAAGAAAGAAGGAATACAGAGATGAAAACATATCTAACTTAAAATCTTAGCTTCTATTATCATTTTCCTGGTTACTGAAATGCTCATGTTACTTGGTACATGTCTTTTGGACATCGGCAGAAGAACTGACGAGTGAGCTGATCACATACTGAATACGTCAGCTATCAGACAAATGGATCAGAGTAATTGCTTATCCTCAATTTTAGATTTATAATAGTTGATTATAGTTGTTCATATTTATGTTACTATGCTGAAAAGAAATGAGCATCCATCAGTATGAGGCCTATCTTAAGTTGTAATTTCCATGTTTTTTAAACTGATAGCCCATTATTATATCATTACCATAATTATATGGATAATGGATTAGCAGTATGTTAGGATTCTTAAAGGAGGATTTAGTACAAATGGACAGCTGCCTATTATGGTTCAAAACAATGTATCACCACGGAGTCCTTTCAACATGCTTATACTAGTTGCTCACTTGCTCTCCAATTACCGCTTTTTTAAAGGATGGTTGTGTTGTTGTATTAACCATACACTCACAGAACAAAGCTTGAGATCTTTGTATTGCTTCTCTTAACAGAATAGCTATCTTAGCTTCAAAGCAATGGAAAATATAATGTTTGACAGGTTCAATTGTGCTGTGGCCAACTATTAAATATAAAATATCTTCTTGGAGGCAATGTTATACAACTAAAAATTGATTTTGCTTGAATTTGATTTCCTGCTGAATATGAAGATTCAAGCAAAATCTACTAGAGTGTTTTACTGTTACTAAATGTGAGAATCATAAGCCAGTAATACCTACAAAAGGTTTGAAACAATCTTGGGTTTGCTACAAATTGGGATGTTATGCTCAGAAAATGGGAATCGAGAAGTATATAAAAACTCCATGAAGAAAATGAAGTAGGAAAAAATAGTAAGGCGCATATTCTATTTTTACTTTATTTTGTTTTCTTGTTTTTTTTCTTTGTTGGAAAGGTAATTCATTAAAAACAAAGGAGCATACTACAAAAAACAAAACTCACAACACTTACATTTCACTCTCGTGCTTGTTCACCAGGGAGTGTTCAAGTTGAAGAATACTGGGGCTTGTATCTAAGTTATTGTAGAATATCCTTGAGGTTTACATGTTATCAATAGTATACTCAGATTGCCTCTCCTTAATGGGGAATACCTTTCGAGGATTGGAACTGTCTGATGCCACAGATAAGATGTGTATACCTCTATAAAATTGGCTAGGGAAAGGAGTGGATCTTATTTTGGTTATTGACTGTGGACGTTTGCTCAATTGCTTCTAACTAGGCAATAAGATGCAGAATCTTTATCCCCCTTTAGAAAGCATTCAATGTTGCAGTTACTCTAGAAACATGTGCAGAACCTGTGCCCTGAACTGTCTAGAGTGCCCCTGGATCATATTTGCATCATGGATCCAAGCTGAGTCAGACATGGAACCACCATTGAACTGCAAAAGTCAAGCTCTATTAAATCATGACTAAAAAATCAATATAAATGTGAATCATAGTTGAATTTGGCAGTAAATTCCCTTTTGCAATGTATACCTTTCCATCACATCATCCCCCTCCCCCCATTTAATGAATTACAACAAGGTATATGCATGTCTTCTCCTCTTTCTCTAATAAAATCATAAAAAGAATACATGGAATTAAATGACAGCCAACTGTCTGTTCGAATTGTTTAAGGAATGCTAAGTTGGGATAGGTCACAGGGCAGACTGATATGAAGAAATCTATTTTTACTCTCCAAGTTATCATACATGCGCACACACACACACACACAAGCTTGAAGTTAAATGGGGCCTTCTTGGTGTTTCAGATACTACTGTTGAGGAGATGGAGGGTTTAAGAGATGGTCTCGAGTTGGTGAGATCAGTTTCCGATAAGCACTTTGATCTTTTAAGGCCGTCAGCTCGATATCATTCAGTTGTTAAAGGTAGTGATCCTACATGGGCTTAAGAGATGCTCAATAAGGTTACTGAAGTTTTCCTTGGGAAAATATTCATTCAACTGTCCAGATTTAGAAGTTAAATGTATTTTGGGTTAGCTTCTTCGGAAGGCTGTAGTAATGTATCCCATACAAGTACTCCATGTATGTGAAATGGTCATGTCATGCATGAATTAATGATGATTTGTTAGTTCCTTCTTTTTCATGAAATTTTGTTTCTCTTTCAAAAGAAAATTATTAGCCCTCTTTCTTCCCCCCTCCCCCCCCCCAAAAAAAAAAAAACTAAAAAACAAAAAACAAAAATAAAAAATTGAGGCTAAAATATTTCTAGCCACTGAAAAAGAACAGAAATCTAAGCAACTGCAACATTTCTTTTTTTAGTAAAGTATGCTTCTTTAAATTCAAATACCAAAAAAACGTTTGCTTCTTTAAATTGTTTATTTTTTCAGATTTTATACTTTGCATTTAACTTCTCATAATTGTATTTTCTTTGAGAAGTTATGCATTCCTATTTCTCATCCATGTTATGGAACTTCATTTCTTGTCTTCTGGTCTACATCAGATCCATGATTAGGTTGCGGTGTAAATAGCTATCTTGTGGTTTATAGAATAAACCACATTTGGTCTTATGTTCTATTGTTGAAGTAAACTTAAAATGCTTTATTTTCTTTCCTTCTAAAATTTGAAACACTAGGCATTTCACAAATGATACCTGAACAGGTATATAAGGGTTGTTTTATGCAGGGCATTCCACTGATGTTGCAGATCATGCAAAAGGGAAGTATACCCTTATTAGGGATACAGAAAGCTGTCAACTGGGGATGTATGACAAACCCCTTCCTTGCTTTGGCTGTGGGATAGGATGGTTTTGGTGAGTAAACCCTCTCTCCCTCCCTCCTCTCTTTCCCCCTCTCCTTCTATCTATTTCTCTCTAATGGTTTACATTTCTTCTTGCAGTCTATTACTAGGTTTTGTGTTCCCATGCATGTGGTACTATGCTACAATTCTCTATTTTGGAAACTACTACCGCAAAGATCCAAGGGAGCGGGCAGGTCTTGCTGCTTCCGCAATTGCTGTAATCTCTCTCTCTCTCTGACCTCATGCAGATAGACCCCTTGTCACGTTAGCCAATATTACCATGTTTGTAAAAGAATGATATATTTACCTAGTTTTATTCCTTTTTGCATGTCCATTTAGGAAATGATTAATGAATATCATAGTTTTTAAGTTCTGTACTCAAGGCTATAACCCTCTTTTTTTTATTGTTCTTCCATTTCTTTATCTTCTTACATTTCTTTATGCAATACATACTTATCAATACGAGTTGATCCCTGTAGTTTTTTTTGTCATTTTTACTAATTTGTGATGGTAATCTAGACATAGCTTACCAAGTTTCAACTTTTAATCAAATGAAATGGCTATTTCAGGCATTGATATGCTCGGTTGTGTTGCTGATCATTGTCGCAGTTCTTATTTTCTAACTATGTTCAGTTCCACCACCTTGTAATATTCATGAAGAAAAGGTCCAGGACGTCTTCGCTGTAATCTTAGTGGATAAACTGAAGAGTGCAAGATCACTGATGTGGCGAAGTGATTCCAGAAATCTGGAAAACTGCACCTTTGTGCTATAATACTCGAATTGTATGCGGCTAAAGAAGCCCAATACCCCATTTCTTGAAAGTTGTATTGATAATTGAATGATAGAGAAATTGTTTAAATCCGTAAACCAATACAGAATCTTCTGCATATCAATGGTGATTGGATTCATCTGCGTTTGAGCTCGCAAAATTCCCCATGTTGTGCCACTGTGGGATTTATAGTTTTACACCATATGGTCCATGGCCTATTCGGCTCTCAATTCAAATAACTCTTTTTTTTCTTCGAGGTGTCAATTGGATTGGATTTGGTCCAATCTGATCCAGTTCAATGTGAGTCCATTACAAATCAACCAAGTTCAATCCAATCCAATGAATATTTTGGACCATTTTGGACCGGTTCAATTCAATGTCTAGACTGTCCAATTTGTTCATATTTGTTTTAATTTAGATTAATTCTAACCCAAACTTGGTCCATTAGCACCTATATTCTCATCTTCTATCAACCGACCAGATATTGGCTCAATCGAACCCAACCCAATATAAATTCATTATGGATGGACCAGGTCCAATTCAATCCGATAAGTCTGGACTGGTCCAATTCAATGTGTATTGTTGGTCCATTCAATCTGTCCAAATTGATTGTGGTTTGGACGGATTCCAAGCCAAAACCGATCCATTGAGTAGGCTGTGAGTCTTTCATTGGCTGAGTGATACCTTGGGTCGATTACGGTACCTTTAATATTTTTAATCCACTTAAAAGGGGAAACAATCAGTGATTCAGTTCACCCACTTCAGCTGTTTTCAAAATTCTTCTACGTGCAACGATTGCAAGGTATTTTGAAGAGGCTTAAATCTGTGTTGCAGCCAAAAAAAATAATTAAATCTGTGGATATAACAAGAATATTTACTAAATTTTTAGAATACTCAATAACACAAAATGTCAAAATTTACAGTTGAGTTGGCTCATCAATAAGATATAAACACATAAGAATCATATAATTTAAAAGCCTGTGATGTCGCAACTTGCAATCAATATACTAGAAATGTCAATTTTGATTTAGAACAAAAAGATGGCAACATATGTACAGAGACATTAAGATCCAAAGGTATAGATGCCGCATCATTTTACTTCGCATTTTACTCCTCACAAGTATATTCAACCCTAAGCCCATTTGCACTTACACCACTGCAAACAAATGGGGCCTTAAAAGCTAAAATCACCTTCCTTTATATTCTTTGCGATACGAATACTCAGAACCTTGTTTCCCAACCTCACGCTCCCGTTGGTTTGGCCAGGCTAGCCTTGAACCTGCCTGAAACACCTAATATAGTAATATGTTTGTTGTGCTTGGCCCAACCAAGGGTATGAATTCTCGCCACAACATGCAGATGCACAAGTGAACCTCTTTCAGTTCAGTCCCATGAATCCCCGGTGCCCATTTAGGAGGGTTGATCTGAACATTCAGCTAAGTTGATTAGGCTGCTTTCAGTCACTCCAGAAGTTCAGATATCCCAAAAAATTGATTGACTGCTGAACAGCTATTGCATTCAGCTAATCATCACCACTCCAGTTTCATTTTCATACCGTGACAAATCATGACGACGCTACATCTCTCTGCAAGTTTTGCAGAATTGAACCCGTTGAACATTTGCATTTGCAAATCAAAGCTTAACTTTTGTAATCGGCATCTGACGAATAGCCAGTAAAGCAATGGAAAGTTGGAAACGATCGACTAACCAAAACAATATATAGGTGCCAATTATAAACTTTCCGTTCTAAATTTGGATTTCGGAATGGCCAAGTGTATATCAGATAGTGATTTACTGCTACAAATCCAATATTACCGGACAATATATTAGTTTTTTATTGGATCACAACTCATACTTGGTTCTCTGGGCCTTATTCTTAGAGTGTTTTGTTATAAAATTCTTACCATGAAAAATCAACCCATAGCACAAAAATTGAGGTAGCTTACAGCATGAAAAATAATCATTGCCCCACCTAGCTCATTTTTGTTCTTTGAGAAAACTCTTGCCTATAAACTGCTGCTATGGATACTTACTAAGGCTCCATTTGATTTGTGGGATGGGGATGAAAAAAGAATATTCCAAAAATATTCCATTTCTCTCTCATTTGTTTTGAGGGAAAGAGAGGGATGGGATGAGAAAAATGTGGGATGTCAGATCCCAAAATCGTGAATTTGGGGTCGCACCAAAAAATTTGAGAAAGCACTGTTCATAGACACGAACAAGGAGAGAGGACCAGTGCATTCCCCGTTACCATCGGTGATCTGCTACCTCTCCTTCCCCATTCGAACCCAAAAACAGAGCGGCACCGGCGGCACTCCCTCTCAGCCACTACCTTCCTCCTTCTCTCCTCTCTTCTTCTCTTTCCTCTTCTGAGTTCACAGACACAGATCTAAGTTCTGCCATGTTCACAGACATAGATCTAAGTTCTGCCATTGTAGAACTTAGATCTGGGTTTGCAGACACATATCGGAGCTTCAGTCATGGAGTTCTCTGTCTCTCCCTCCATCTTCCTCTTCTCTCTTCTTCCTCACCTTCTCTCTTCTCCCTTCTCCCTCATAACAGTGTTTTCCTATTATGTTCCCATCTATAAAACCAAACAATGGACGAGTAGATTTTTACACTTTCCCATCCCACCCAAATCTTCCCACAAATCAAATGGAGCCTAAAAGACTATCCTGGAAGTACTTTTACAAAAGCATTTTGTAAAACTTTTATAAAAGCACTTAAAAAAAACTTTCATAAAAATACTTTTATAAAAGCGCTTTGTAAAAATACTTTTATGTACTTTTATCAAAATATTTTTCTGAAAGCACTTTTACAAAAGTACTTTTACACAGGACACTTATCAATCTGAAAAAAAATTCATTTTTAAGAAAAAAGTATTTAATTTATAACAATATTTTCTAATTCTGCCTATTTTTACCAATTCTTGTTCATTTTATTAGCGAATGAGAAAGAATGAGAATTTAAACAAACATGGTCTTAAATTAAATTATGTGCTTGTCAAAAAGAATATAAATTATAATCGTGTCTGAGTCTGGACCTGGTCAAAAATTTCTTCCACAAACTTTTCTAGCATTAGAAAAGACTGGAAAATAAAAAATAAGTTCAACCTGATCCCCAAAAGTCCAGACATAACAAGAAATGAAAATACATCGAAAATGATTCTTGACTTAACGAGTGAAAATGAAACTGCTTTCCTTGCCAAAACTGGAACGCTTGTGTCAAACGCCACCAAGATCAGCCCCGGCTTCTGTCCACCAAGCGAACAAGCTTATTATCAAGTGTGAATCTGGAGCTTGAGTTTATCTGCGCCATAAAGAAATTGTGAATTAAGGCTTGTAACTAGTGCAACCTGCAAGCAGATCGAGTAACATTGAATTGGATATTATATTGACTTTACCTTCTGCGTGACCATGTTCTTGACTTGCTCTTCATCTTCAGTGATGCCAGACTCCTGGAGGGACTTTAAAACCAGCTTTTGTAATTTTTTCATCTTCAGAACTCCATCAGGGCTCTGGTTTACATACAACAAAGATGAAAATAACTGTATATGCATGAAGAACAATCTTAAAGTAAACCCATGTAGCTATCTTTCTAAATGTCATTGTTGGTTAAATCCATCTTTTTGGAGTCATGCCAGACTCCACATAAATTATTATTTCTTGGCTTATTGAAAAGCTTATCAGCTGGTTGATAATCAGATACAAGCAACATGGACAAATATTCTGGTCACATACCTTCTCTTTAGCTCACAAAAAGGAATTGTTATTTTCCCTTATTTCCACCATTTAGTTCAACTGCTTTTCCTACAACTTGTGTCATTATTTTTCTGATTGGTAGCCATGCTTTTTTTTTTCAATTGCAAGTTGAAGGGACCAGAAGGTCTAGGGGCAGGCCAAAGATGACATGGGTTGTAGTAATAAATAATATAGGCACTCATAATTTAACAATGGATATGGCACTAAACAGAATGGAATGGTGAAACAGTATTCATGTAGCTGACCCCATATAGTTGGGATAAAGCTTGGAGTATGATGATAAACATGGCAAGGACCTCAAAGCATTAAAAGATAAAGCATTAGATGACAAATATTTAGGAGCCCTAGGTAGCTTTGGGCTTGCACTTGGAAATATATCAATAATACAATTCCTCCTTCCCATATAAGATCAAACAATCTCTGTGTCTTCTTATGAGTCTGCATTTGTAAAGGAATGTGAGCCTTGGATAGATGAAAAAGATTAGGCTTAGGAGAAGGCTCTGCAATTAACAGAGGCTATTGATATTCTTGAACTTAAATGCATAAGAAATGTTTTCTTACGAGGGTAGAACCATAGGATGATAGTTCCTGCAGTGGGAGGCCAGAGCATTTTCCCTCTTTGTTGAGCCTAAGTTTGTTGTTCTTATCAGGACATGCAGGATCTTCTAAAGAAGTCCCAATTTCCTCCATGAACTAATATCATGGCAAGAGAAAGGGGATATATCTATACAAGCCTTTTTCAGACATGTGGAAGGAGACAGATGCTTGGGTGTTTCAATAACAAGGAGAAGCCCTATCTTTTTTTTTTTTTGATAAATAAAGAAGCCCCATCTTATTGGAGATTATGTTTTATATTCCATATCTAAATTAGGCCAAAGGTAAAGTATAGGAGTCATGTATTACAGGGATCTTTCTGGCCAAAAGATAGTATCGAACTAGTATATATTCAAGTATTAGGAGCCCTCAGTGCAGAGTGTTTTAAAAGTGCATGACACAAAAAAAAAAAGCACAATGGGCTTTTTGCACCTGAGGTGCAAGGGACAAGGCACAAGGCAAGGTGCATGCTTTCATGAAGGCAGGCAAAAATTATTTTAAAATTTTCAAAAAAAATTAAAATCATATTAATTAAAAAAATGTAACTTAAATTTTAAAAGAAACCAAATGTTTTGAACGCCTATTGGCTTATCAAATTAAAATATATAAACATGATGTATAAAACATATTTAAAGTGAAAATGTAGAAATAAAATCAAACCTAACATAAATATTCAAGCATGTGAAACTTTCAATCTGTTTATGCCTCTCCCAATTGCCCTATGCCTCTACTAAACCCCTTGACACAAGTTCAAACAAGCTCCGACAGAACCCCCCTTTTTGCTAGTGTCATTCTCTCATTCTCCTTAATACAAGACATTTCTATCAAGCAACATTTGATTCCTAATCCTAAAATATAATGACCTACAACTAAAAAAACAATTGCTTTATATACAAGCCAAGGATTTAGGAATTAGGACCTTTACATAAACTTGTTTGGGCATGCCTCAAAAGTCAAGAGGGTTCGAGGGCGGAGCCCCAGCCTAGCCACTATCCTTGAAGGTGCAGGACCAGGCTGAAGAACACGCCCGGCGCAAGCATGTGCCTTTTTCAAAGGGGTTACACCTGGAAACTTCCATAAACTCTATATTTCACATTTGACATTTAATACATTTTCACTTTAGATCAAGAAAACAAAATAGACAGCCAGAAGTATTTTGCACTGAGGATGCATACCGATTTCAAGATTGAAGTAACCAGCTTCTTCCACTTTATTTTCTTATTTGACTCCTCTGTACATTCAGTTTTGTCCTCCTCTTTGGGCACATTAACATGTTTCCTTTTCTTAATCTGACCATCTGCTTTTTCTGCTTCTGCTCTTTCTGCTTGAATAACTTCCCCATTGCTTGTCTCAACTGAATTTTCATTGATTTCATTCCTTCTAGTACTTCCATTTAAAGATGCATCCAATTTTATTTTTTTCTTTGATGGTACATTATCTGCTTCTGTGTTCTCAAGAAGAATAGTACCTTTTGGTGGATCTTGACCTTTTGATTCTTCTACATCTTTATTGCCAAGTATTTCTTCATTGGGGCGGTTAACAGTTGAATCCTTCACATTTGGCGTAGATTCTTCTGTCCCTTTAGGTTGTTGCTTAGCAGCATGGAAGGCCCGGGCTTTTGCTCTATGCTTTTTTCCTTCTGCATGCAGTAGTAAGGTTTGCCTACTCGTAGCATTGGTGTTGCATAGACTGCAAATATAAGATTGAAAAAGAAACAACCACAAAAATGATTAGCAAAAGAAAGATACAAACAAGAAACATAGGAAAATGTTGAAAACTTCTAACTGAAACAAGTTTATTAACTCCAAAATCATAGTTTTATTTAGATAGTAAGAAAAAATAAAGATTCATTAGGTATGGATGAGATTGGAAAAAAAGAGGTTCATCAGGTATGGAGTATGGACAATCCTATCTTTGATATGTGATTCATCATTTGTGGGTGCGCTCTTCTTCCCTAGGAAATGGGTTTTTTCTGGCAGGGAATACCCTTTGCAAAATGGTGACAAGGGGCTAATAAAATTGACAAAAATAATGTCCCTTGACACAGTTTTAGCCTAGTTTTATTATACTTCCAATGTAAAATTATGATGAAATTGAAGCATGTCCCATCATTCCATGCCAACATGGAACATTTCCTACAAATTAAACCTTTTATTTGCTAAATGCATCACCTATAAGAGTGTCTAGACTCTAGATGCTTAGGTGACAGGTACCCCCTGTGCAGCTGTGCTTAGCCTCATTCAGTTCTCCCTGCACAACTCCACCTAAATATGTCATGTGAAGGAATGTTCAGGATCTGCAAATTATCGACTTCCACAGCCTACACCAAGCTTTTAATGAAGCTTCGCCTGCCTGACTAATAATAGCTCCTTAAAATTATTTACTTTGCATAGGTGGCAACATCATATGGGGCAATTTGTTGCATGAGTATAGAGTGAGAAAAGGAACGATGGAGAGTTCTTCTAGTTGTGAGTTAATTTGCCACATGCAAGATTTTCCTAGAGTGTTTGAACTTTTATACAAAATGGCTTGACTAGCAGATGCCTTCCTATGGGTTAACATATGGGGAAGGTGGGGATTCAGAATGTGCAAGCTCAAGCAACAACTTGATGAGTTGATTCATGCATATGTTCAGTTGATACATATCAACATGCGTACAACTTAAACCATTGATAATTTTGCCAAAAGTCCTTATACGTAGAAGAGTGTATGTGTGTGTTGTGTTTTGTTTTGTTTACATATTATATAGCTAATGAACATTCAGTATTATCATATTCAATTGTACAAATCGATTTTAAAATTTTAAAAGAAGAAAATCAAAATAGCACCATTAAGGAGGAGGGGGAGCATTCAATCACAAAATAAACTCACTTCATGTAACTTGATTCACATCTATATTCATTTGATACACAACAACATGTGAATCACTTGAATTATTGATGGCTCACAATCACTAGTTTGTGTAAACATGCCCAAAGTCTTCATATGTAGACAAGTGCATTTTCATGCATAATGTTTTCTGAACAAATTAAAAGAGCAACAATGAACATTCAGTATTAACAGATTTAATTGTACAGAGCAATTATAAAACTCAAAAGAAAGAAAAAACCAAAATAGCATCCCCCTAAAATAACGATAATAAAAAGTTGAATCAGAGATTGAACTCACCTACAAAACCACGGGGGCCGTGAAGATAACCCAACATTTATATCAATGTCAGGTTTTTGCTTCGATTCATTGTTAGGCTTAGCTGGTGTACCATTTGAAGTTTTTGCTTGGCCTTTTGGACCATATTTCTCCTGAAAAAAAAAAGCATACTCCTTTTGGTCAGATAAAATTATAAGGTTATACTGGTATGGTTGAATGCCACCTGAGATGAAATACCTTATTTTTCATAGCAGTTGACCCACAAAGTCACCGTATAAATTGGATTCACTACGGTTGTTGATGAGGAAAAAAATCTATATCTTTTCTTGTCATTTCATTTCAGACGGTTTGTGAATGCCAGATAAATGTTTCAAATCGAATTCTACAGAGAATTATTTATCCTAAAATAGCACTCGTTGAAGATTAAGCACCTTATACTGTGGGATATTGGCAAGGATTGATTCAAAGTATAAAATTGAATAAGAAAACCTCGTTTCTAGATAAATCGAGATAGAGGCCAAGGTTAAAGGAGTTTCTGAAGCTAGACGCTTTCAATGCAAATGCGTGAGGGTAAAAGATTCGACAAATAATCGGAACTCAACCAATGTCCAAACGATTTTTACTCTAGTAAAGTTGCTAGGCAAGTTAAAATCCAAATTCCATACAAAAATTCCAAAAAGGGAGTGAAAAAGATCAAACAAAAAGTCAGAGAGATAGAGAGATCCATATGTAGAAATTGTTATTTGAGTAAACGAACCGCTTCTGTAATGCACTGTGTGTGGCCTTGAACGCTTTGTTGCCCAAATGTTTCTCCACAGTCAATGCACGATAACTGTGTCAAATAATAGCGAAAAAAATGGAAGAATCAACCAGTTATGGATACAAAAATAGAGGGAATAAAAAGGAATTATCAGATACTAAGAAAACACAGTAAACGCCGAGGGATTGCACAAAATGGAATGAAAATAGAGAAAGAAATAAAGATAACCGGACAGAGAAAGAACATAAATTAGACCTTTGTTGCAGAGCAAATTCTGAAATGATTTTGCAGCTTGGGCTTCTTCAAGTTCTCACCGCAGTCCTCGCACTGAAACCAAACCATCTCTCTTTGCGTAAAAACGTTAAGGAGATACGATGATATCCACAAGACAACAACTTTAAGAAATGGAGTTATGGAGGTGGAATTTGGAGTTCCGTTGAGGTGACTTCTTAGGGTTTAGAATGGGTTTTAGTCATTTTATTAGGGTTGCTGAGCGAATTGGATCGCTTTTCTTCTTTCTTATTTATTTTGGTAAGAGAATTGGATCGCTTTTCACGTTTGAACTTCGAAGAACGGGTCCTGTTCTTACTCTACTAGGGCTGCAAATGGTATCCGTTTTTCTGGTTCGGGTTTGTTTGAGTCGAAACCGGTATCTTAATTTGATCCATTTATAATTGCATCAATGATTATAGGCTCCGTTTGTGTATCATGATTAGTGTTTGTAAGTGTTTTATCACATGTAAAAAAGTAAAGATTAAGAAATAAAAAATGTAGGACTATAAATCGAGCCAGGTTAGGTCGGGCCGAGGCCAACCCTAAGTTCTAAATCTCCAACCCTAACCCTAATTAAATTCCTTCGACCCTAACCCAATCCAACATTCTCCCCATTCCTTAAAATCCCGTAGAACTTATTAATCTCAGATCTTAACTCAATTTTCATTACATATATTAATCATATGTTTTATTAGTATTTGTCTATTGATGTTTTTATTCATTCTTTAGTTCAAAATTCAGGAAAAAAGTGTTTGAAATGACTATAGTTTTATTATGAGTTATGACTTATAATAGATCTTTTATGCGTAGTAAGCTATTGGTGGCAAGCAATAGAGAGGAGAGAACAAAATATTCAAAAAAAAAAACATAAAATATGTTATTAAGCTTTTAGTATTTCCAATTAAGATTAAGTGAAGTGATTATCTTAAAAGAAATAAACGATAGTATGTGGTGGGGGCTATGCAACTATCATGCATCTAAACAAATCAATGTATGATATATCATATATATATATATAACATATATTTATATATGATATGTATTATAGAGTTGGGTTGGGTTGCCCGAGGGGTCAACCCTAACCCAACTTAAACTAAAGTCGGGTTTGTAAATTTTAACCCTAACCCAACCCAATCCATCCCGACTTTAATTTTCAGGTTGGGTTTGGACCAACCCAACCCAAGTTGTGGGCTTACAAAAATGTATTTTCTGACTTAAACTAAAGTCGGGTTTGTAAATTTCAACCCTAACCCTAACCCGACCCAATCCATCCTGACTTTAATTTTCAGGTTGAGTTTGGACCAACCCAACCCAAGTTGTGGGCTTACAAAAATGTATTTTCTGACATTTTTTATTCTAAGAGAACATTAGTATACCTATTTTTTGGATACAATTTTGTACTTTTGGTAATTTTGCTTTTTGACCAAAGTTTAAGGAATTGGAACATAGGTAGTTGGATCATTAATGATGGGGCCCATGCTTTGCACCGATTTCAAACAAACAAGATGAGTATAAAAAGGATTTAAAAATGTGAACTGTATTCACATCCATGAGCCGAAAAGAAGGTAATTATGTAGAATACATATTTGCATTTGCATCACAACCAAACACAGTAGATCCTAATCAGTTAGGATTATGACATTATTATAGGGAGGGGTATCAATTGGATCGGATTTGGTCCAATCCGGTTTAGCATGAATCTATTACAAATAGATCAGGTCAAATCCAATCCGATGATTATTTTGGAGTGATCCAATTCAGCGTATGTATCGTATAATTTGTTCAAATTGGTTTTACTAAAACCTGGTTCATTGATACTTGTATTCGTATCTTTTATCAATGGACCAAATATTGGATCAATCTGATTAGTCTGATCCAATCCAATAAATACTTTGGATTAAGTCTGGACCAATCTGATTCAATATGTCTTATTGGTTTGTCCAACGTGGCAACATCTAAATTAGTTTTGATTTGGACAGGGTCCATTGACCTCTTTCCACTACAACTGAACAAAAAAAAAAAATTACAAGCTGAGCCACTTAGGAATAAAGGTGCAATTTTAGGCAGGCCTAGCGTGAGCCCAAACTGATCCAGCCCAAAATTTTACACGAGTTGGGCTTTGATTTTTGGTCATCGGGTTGGGCACGAGCCCAAGAAGTCTGGCTTTTTTTTTTTGGGTTGGGCCTGGGATTATTCCTTAGGTAGTCCGAACCCAAGTTAACTATACACATACATACATACACGTACGTACGTACGTACGTACACACACAAATACATATATACATACATATATGTATACATATTTACATAAATGCATATACATATATAAATTTAGAGCGGGTTCATTGACCAACCCGAGCCTTGCCCAAGCCCGAGTGTAACCCAAGTGCATCAAATTACAGTGCAAATTGGGCTTGAGTTGGAAAGATCGGGCTCGGTCCGAGATTAAGCCTTAATCCCAAATTTTAAGGTCAGAACCTAGGTTAACCATAAAATTGGCCCAACTCACCTGACTTGCACCCCTACTTAGGAATGGCAATGGGGCGGGCAGGGTTGGGTCTTGCATGCCCTGTCCCCAACTTAGAATTCAAATGCCCTGCCCTGAACCCCATCAAGGGCTAGAAATCTAAACCCCATCTCCATCCCTATGTGGAACGGAGATCCCTAAATTTACCCTACCCTACCCCAGCCATTCCTACTTGCGTACTTGCAAATTATTTATATATTTTTAAAATGTACCTAGAACTATATTATATTATGCAATATAATATAATGTAATATAATATATATTATAATATATTGATAATTTTATAAATTATGTAATATAATATAGCCAGGGCAGGGTGGACAGATACCATCCCTGCCCGTCCATGGTCCCCAAAGTTTTGTGTTTCCCATTAACCCATCCCAAAACCCGGTCAATAGTCAAAAAAACCTATCCCAACTAGGTCGAGGCGAGGCAAACCCCCACGAAAATGGTCAAATTGCCATCTCCGGAGCCACTAGACTTTGGGATATGCTATCCACAAGAATGCTACACACATCTACCCATAAGGCAATGCAGTTGTACAACATAAACATCTTCCATATTTGTTTATTATCATTCATGGAAAAATGCTACAGATGCATGGCTGTAGTGTCTTGTAACTAGTGTGGGTAGCAATCTTGTGGATAACAGATTCAACTACATGTTCAAGCCTTCCCAATGCAGGCTCTCTATTTTGTATACACAATGTTAGGCCTTGTATGTATCGAACTATCCTATCACTACATGACCCTTAAGAGGATAGTAAAGCTTCATCACTAATACGGTAATAACAAAAGAATATATGAAATGCCAACAAACCCCTCCGTTGACAATGAAATATGGGGCTCACACTTTATGAGCCTTACTACAAATATGTATGTGTTTGGAACCGTGGGAGTTTATTCACTAAACGTTTATATTTGATTTGTTTGTAAAATCAAGAAAAGCAATAACGAATCTGTTTATTGACATTTAAGTGCCAATAGGTGCCATTAGACACCACATCAGCAAAACAATGAATAAACGTCTACCCGTTGGGGATGCAATAAAGTGAAGCTTCCCCAAATGGTAGATACGCACATAAATCAATGTTAGCTTTTGCAAGTCTCTATGCGTATGGATCCGCCTAACGAGGGAAATACAGAAGTGACTCCTATGTGACAGAGTTTATTCAATAAATGCCCACGGTTCCAAACACCACCTATAAAACCTAGCTCATATATATAACAAAGGGGTGATGTCACAGGTGGGTAATTTATCAAATCCATAGGGGATTGATAGATTCACAAGGGGTGTGTGTGAGTGAGTGACTCATATATGAGGTAAGCTTTTATGTTTCGGCATATGCATCATAGCATTTGCCCATACTTATTCTAGAATATAAATTAGTTGTAAATTTGAAAATGAAAACACCACAACATTTCTTTAAAAATAACAAATTCTCCTTTTTTTTGTTTCTCAAGCAAATCTCGCAAATTTTATGGACAAAAGATGAAATTGGATCCAAACTCACAAATACTCAAAATTAATATTCAATTTTTGAATCGGTAATATTTTCATAGTGAGGTTTGGCATGAAGGGAAGGGAGATCCATCAAATGGGTGGCCGAACCATGCAGGAAGGCCGGGCGAATTTTCAAAAATTTCTTTCTCTCTTCCGGGAATCTTATTTCCAGTTTTAGAAAAACTGCATTTTTCAATGATCGTTCTTGAAACAAACTAGACCAGATCTGAACCAAGGATTAGGGAGAGAGGTACCTAATACAGAATCCACGCAAATGCTCCTCCCAATGTAGGTGTTCACGCCCAAAGAGAGTACCAAATTCGTCCTCCACTGAAGGTGACGCAGTTTAGGATGAGGTAGGATCAGTTATTCAGCAAGAATCACGCCAAGGATGTGAGCACAACTTCAAGATTATTTCTTCTAGCAAGAAATAATATCAAGATCAAATCTTAATTAATCCAATATGGAGATCGAATAGGGTAGGTGGCGGCAAGAATAGAGGGAGAAAAAGCAGAAAGAGAATGCTCTGTACTAAAGAGAAATTCGCCCTCCTATTTATAATCTTCTTTTGGATCATCTTCCTAATCTAATTAGGAAAGAATTCCTTTGATTCAAATTTGTATTTGAATCTGGACTCTTAAATGGATAAGACTTATCTTATCCATAAGCTAATCCTATTCTGATTATAAGCCCCAATTCGCCACCTTCTTATTTAATCTAATTAAATACCCAATTCGATGTAGGTTTTTAAGGCCCATTAAGCTTTCATGCTCACTTCCTTTAACTGCTCGCTAACTTGGTTCTCTTTGTATGGCGTGGAACCCTAGCATTGATCTCCACAAAAGGCATATGGGTTTAGCCCAACCTCTATTACAAGGCCTGGCCGAATAAACCCCTGAATCCATCAATATGGGCTCTTAGTGGGCCCAACATCTACACTAGATGGTCCCTAAGTCCAGCCACCTTATGAAAACTCAAGGACTATGGACTTATGTGAGATTAGCCCATCAGGTTTATTATCCTTAAACGATCTTACACTTAACTTCTCAGCCCTTAATGATCAAACACTACCCGACAAGAGAGGACTCTCCCTCGGCTGCAAAGTACAGTATTGCACTCTCTACTCATATGGATCCCGGGAATTAAAACCTTTTGCAAACAATTTGAAACCATAATATATATATATGTATATATGTATGTATGTATGTATGTATGTATGTATGTATGTATGTATGTATGTATGTATGCATGTATATA